CGAAACAGTGATCACTGCTATAATATTTGCTCGCGTAAACAACATCACCACTTTGCAACTATCAAGCTTGATACTATAGACGAGGAGCAGAAAGTGGGGCAAAATGGATTATTTAATGTGTGGCGAATGTGGTCAAACGTTCCCTTTTTCTCAGATGCCGAATTTTATGCAGCACAAACAGGATGGTAGTTGTTCTAGAGTGTCATCTGCTCACTCAAGCTTTTCTTGCTACTATTGCCAAGAGAGCTTTCTCACTCCGCTTCTTCTAATTCAACACGTGGAATGGGTGCATCGAATAAATTTGATGAAGTCCTCTGGAAAGGAAGTTAAAAGCCATCTAGTTGATGAGCACAGCATCTTCAATACCATAGAGGCCAAAACTACTTCGTCCATTACGAATGAGCTAAAGTCTGCAGTAGGAGTATTTTCTATGGCCTCATCTTTTGAGGGTGAGAAACAATCATTTGAGGAAGGTCAAATGGAGCTTCACCAAGAAAACATATTTTCTTCGACACAAGATACTGGAACTGTCCGTGAGGCTGTTTGCATTTCTTACAAGAGGAAAACGTGTTGCATGGAGGATGGAGGGGAACCTTGTGAGCAGATTACATCTTGCCCAATACTGTTTCCAGAGGAAACAGCTTCAGATTCAGAAGAGCTAGCTCAAAGAATTTGTCCGAAAGAAAGCTATATCACCGAGGAAAACAAAACTCTGTACAAGGAGGAGACACAATCAAGCGATAAAGTTAGAAATTTTACTTGCATTCACTGTTCAAAACGCTATTTTCAAAATATCCATCTTCGCAAACACATAATGAATGCACACACAGGTGAGAAGCCCTTTGCTTGCTCGATGTGCGATTATAGGACAGTTGAAAAAAGTCATTTGACGGTACACTTAAGGAGGCATACGAAAGAAAGACCATTTAGATGCCATATTTGTGACTACAAAGCCTCCCAAAATTCCACTCTTAAGATACATTGCCAAAGAAAGCATAACGGGCAATTTTTGTCTTGTTGTTGTAATAAAAGATTCTACACACAAAAGGATATTGAAAAACACTTAAAAAAATATAGCTGTGATAAACTAAAAATTTGACTAATTTCTTGTAAATTATTCAATATTTTTTATTTTGTATATACATCCCACCTACCTTTTCGCAGGTTAGTTCTTTTGTCTGTTCTCGTAATTTATCAATTTGAGCATTCATTTCAGCTATCTTCTTCTCCTATGAAAATTTAAATTCAACATCTTGAAACTATATTGGGATTATCTTTTGGTTATAAATGTATTTTGCTTAATATATGTGCATAGCGCTCCAAATAATTGTAAAGCAAGATTAAATTAACACTCTTATTGATTTGTTATGATTATTATTATTGATCA